ACCGGCTCGCCCGTCGGAAGGGAGTTCCTTGAGGATGAGGCCTGACTCCTGATGGCCTCTTCACCCTCGGCTGACGCTCAGGCTTCAGCCAGCAGCCAGCACGCAGCAGCAGAGCCTTGCTCAGTGTGCACCCAGGCCCTGACTCCGCTGCTGGCTCGGGAAACTGGCCCAGAGGGGGTGAGGCCCTGCCCTCTCGGGGCCTGTTTCCTCATCTGTGATGAATAACGATAATAAGAGCCCACATTTATTGAGACTTTCTTTTCAGTATCTTTTTAACTCCGTGAAGTAGGGACTTTGACTATCCCCATTTCACAGACCAGGCACAGAGAGGTTAAGTGACTTGCTCAAGGTCACACAGATGACAGGTGCTGGAGCTGGGATTCCAGCCTAGGCTGTGGGGCCCTGGAACCTGTGCTCCTAGTCATGGCATAACACAGAGATGACAGGTCCCCTCTGTGCCAAAGGGCCCTTGGGGATGAACTTTGACAGGTACAGCCCCTTAAGTGCCCTTGCCAGCCCGTCCTGCTTCCTACAGCTGTGGGGACGATGTGACACTTCCTCTCACTCTGGGGCCTTCCACCACCACCACAGATTGGACCACTGCGGGCACCTGGTGAGGCTTCAGAGCCCGGCCGTGCAGGACAGCTTCCTGCGTCGGGGAGAGGGCACACGTGCCTCAAACCCACTACCATCGGCAACAGCGGTGGCCCAGGATCAGTGCCAGTGAGAGAGCAATCCTCCACCAGGCCGGCCAGGAGACCATTCTCATTACTGTCTCTGCTGTTCAGACGACCACACTGGAGTCCCTAGGTCCCTCCCTCCAGAGTGGTTTTCTCAGCTCACTATTATAAGGTAACTCCTAGGATCCTTATTTGGCATTTCATCCCCTTTCTGGATGCAAAGCTTCACAGGGATCATGCCTGCTTTTGCCCACACGGGGATCCTGGGGACCAGCCAGCACCTGGCACGTGAATGGATGGAATAGTGAGTGACCTGCCATCGCACAGCTGTCAGGGCTGTGGGAGCTCCTCCTTCTCCCTAAATCAGTTTTGCTCAAAGAAAAGACTCGCCACTGGAAGGAAAGGGAAAAGTTCATCCAGGAGTCAACACCTTCTTGGAGCACAGATACGACATAAGCCTTTTTAAAAAAAGAGCAGGCACGGGAGAGGGAGGGAGCTCGAATGTGCTATAGCTGCTTGGTGGCCCGTCTACTCTGGGACCAGGGAGGCCCCCTGCAAGCATGACTGCAATGGGGAGGCGGAGGCTGGGAGTGGCCTGGCCTGGCTTCCCCCAGGCTGTGGGGTGGAGGAGGGACTTAACGGCTTTTGCTGGACCAGAGGCTGAGCGGTAAGTGAGTGTGGGCTGTGATGGAGCCAGAACCAGCTCAAAGAAGTGCTGAGCAGAGACACACAGGCCACAGCTCTCGACAGCTGTGGGTCCCCTCCCACCCAGAGCTGGGAGAGAGGAACAGCCTGCGTCCCCAAATCAAGCATGAGTTCTAAAGGCCTAAAGAAGCTGTCTCTGTGAGTTGCCACTCCTAGGGCGGGCACTGCACTTGACCCCTTCAAAGTATTTCCCCTAACAGAGCCCTTGCTTGCCTAAGAGGGACTGCTGGTCCCAATTTATAGACAAGGGGACCCAGAGAGGCAGGAGTAACTGCAGAGGCCACGTGACCAGCGGAGGTGAGAATGGCTGAGAACCTAAAACCCGCAACCCCAGCCTGGCCAGATCCACACGCCTCCGGCCAGGGTTTGTGCCATCGCCTGGGAGGTGGGGCCGCTCCGAAGGGCTGAGCCCCGTGGCCTTGTTTCTCGGCCGGGAGCCTGGAGCAGACCCTGCTCACGTGTCTGGTCCCCTCTCATCAAACCCAGCTCAGGGGAGGCTCCAAGGGGCTGACAGGCATTAGGAAGAGTCAGGTGACATGAGGAATCTGATCTGGGGAACAGAGGCCACTTAGGTACAAAACAAGCTGGGTCTCAGCACCTTGAACATGCTCTTTTGAGCTCTAACAATCGTCACTGAAGGACAATCACGATGTGCAACTGTCCTGACAACCAACAGAGGCTCAGGAGGGAGCAGCATGTCCAGTCACCCAGGCCCGTCCCCACCCACAGGCACTACCGAGCGGCTGGCCAACGTCCTGCGCACTTGTCCTGTCCTCTTGGGACCTTCCACAGAGCCTTCGGGCGCCCTGGAAATGCTGCCGCTTCTCCTTCAGCAGGTATCCAAGAAGTTGTCTCCTGTTTTTTAGATTGATTCATTGCCCAGATTTAAAAATTAAGAGACTGACACAAAAGTCCTAATGAGAAAAGGGACTCTTCTTTAACCAATATGTCAGTTAATGTAGATTGGGGTTAGTCTCCCAAATCTGTATTCTGGTTACATCTAGATTCCTGGCTTCACCTATAAATCCAGATCTGGCCAGCCAGGCCTTTGGGTGGGGTGAGGCACATAGACTCCAGGCTCCACTGCACGATTAATTTGAGGCCCAGCCCCTGAAGCATCTGGTTTCCCTAGAAGTCCCCCGCCCTTCCCCTCCAGCATCACTTCCCCGCCTCTGCTTTCTCAGCTTCCCATGGCTGCTCCCTGCACGAAATCCAAACTCCCGCCCACATTCCACCAGCCTCATGGTCTGGCCCCTGCCAAGCTCCCCTCATCCTGGGATCACTGTGCCCACCATCCCGCCCTTCATCGTGCGTTTCCCGGGAGTCTGGTCCATTCCCACCTTGGGGCCTTTACACACACCCCACCTGGCCTCACAGTTGCTCTCCCTCCTCGTTCCATTTCAGCTCACATGTGGCTTCCGCAAAGAGGCCTTCAGCGCCTGCCTATTTCTGTCTGTTCCTCCCCCTGGTTTCTTTCCTCACCAGCCTCATCATGTCACAGCTAGTGACCTGGGCTGGAATCCTGACTGCCATGTCCCTAAGGTATGACCTTGCGCAGGTCCCCTAACTTGACTGGCCTTAAGCTTCCTCACCTGTTGCAGGGTCATAACACCCCGGCCTCGCCAGGCTGCTGTGAGGGCCCAGCTCAGAGTTAGCGTGTGACCTCACAGCAGCCACTGTCGCTGTCCCCCCCCCATCATTGTGCCCCCCACCGCCGGCCAATGCTGAGGTTTGCTTTGTAACGTCCTTAGTACAACCAATGCTCACAGGCCAAACCAGGACCTGGTTCCAAACAGGCCGCTGTCTTGCATCATACTGTTTCCCCCTTCCTGTTCACCCTCTTTTCAACGGGGGGCACAGCTTCACCTGGAGCCCTGCTCGCGGGAAAGCTGCTCTTCAAAGGAACAGGGCACACACAGCCCGGCTGACGGGGGCTCCGGCCGTCCCGGCTTCGGGGACTTTACAGCTCGCTCAAAGCAGCCGCCGCCCGGTAAACCCCTCTCCCCGATGAGAGCAGGGCTCCTGTCCCACCCCCAACACTCACTCTCTTCCTCATAAACCTGCTTTTTATAAAGCTGAGTGTGGGGCCAGGGTCCTCGCTCTGGGCATCTTCTTTTGCAGTGCCGTGGACGTCTGGACAACGCGCCCGGAGCAGGTGCCCAGGGACCTCGGAGCTCGGCCTTTCCGTCCTTCTGGGGGCCCGGCAGGGATGGGGATTATCGGGCTGTCTTGTCTTTGAGGAAACCGCCTAAACAAACACTAAGAACTCTAAGGAGTCCAGTGGAGTAGTTCTGCTTAATTACCCTGGGTTTTGTACTTCTTAAATGTTTTTTGCTTTTCTATTTCAGGAACGGTTTTCAAATAAAGATCATGCCCAGGGCCCCCAAGTCTCACCTCACAGCCTCTGTTAGCTTTAGCGCACGCCAGCACTTTACTCCCAGGATCTGGTCCTATCCTCCAAAGACCCTGCCGGGTCAACACCACGGCCCCATTTTGCAGATGAGGAAGTTGAGGTTCGGAGCTGCAGAGCCGCCTGAGGAAGGGCTCCCAGCTAGGGAGTGGCGAAGCTGGATTCACACCCTGTCGGACCCGGAGCCCAACGCCCGCCCTTTTTACTCCCTGCCTCTCAGTGTGAACCATGCCACAGACCAGAGATGAGGCCCTACAGGGCCCCTCCAGCACCTCCTCCTTGTCTAGGGCCAGCGATCGGCGAGGGGCTGAGGCTGGAACCATGGGGCTGCCTGGTCCTCCTTCCGCATCTACTCTCTTGAAGGCACAGCACAGCCAGGCCACAGGAGGGCACAGCCGCTCTGGCTGCAGCACACAGCCCGCCTGGAGATTCTGGGCCTTGCCATTATCTTAACCAAGATGTGCCTCCATGCCTTCCAGAATGCTGCTCCCTCTGCCTGGAAGCCATGTGGGTCCTGGCTTCTGGCCAGCTGTCCCATTTCACAGCCCTGCTGCTTTGGGCCCAAACTGACCACCACTGCCCTGACACCAAGGGCCTTCACTTGCTGGGCTCAGCTGGAGGCCAGGCTCTGTCCCAGCCTGGGGCTGTCCCCAGGCTCCCCAGGCACTCCAGTTGGCTGGAGTCTTCCTCCTCTGACCCTCTGCACTGCCCCGAGCTGGCCTGCCATCCCACCCGGCCTACAGAGAGCAGCCGGCTCCTGACCCCAAAGACCCTCTGCTGGCTGGTGACCCAGTGAACAAGCAAGAGACTGAGAAACGAGCCCTCGGCCCGGTCAGACCTCGAGCCCCCCTCAGGGAAAGGGGACCGTCGGGAATGGGGCCCCACTCTTCCTAGCCACATACAGCCCCCAGCCCAGAACGGAAAATAGCTTCTCCAGACACATCTGCCCATCTGCGGCCCCATCGCGTCCCCACATAAGAACACCAGAAACACCAACAGCCCTGCTGTAGGGGCAGAGGGCGGGAGCTGGGAGGTGTCCCTGCAGAACTGACACCAGAAGCACAAAACAGCCATTCAGGCCAGCACCAGAGTTCCCTGCCTTGACCCTGAGGCCCCCAGAACCAAGATGCGGAGAGGGGGCTCCCAGAGGCCACCTGTTTCCACAGGGGTGGGGGCGTGACTGGGCAGCATGAGCCAGTACTCACCATTGGAGCGGTGGATGCAGGTGTGCTGGTTGTCGCTGAGGAAAAAGCCGCTGTGGCACTGACACTCGTAGCTGCCCATGGCATTAACACAGATCTGCTGGCAGCCACCGTTATTGTCCTGACACTCGTCCACATCTGTGAGAAAAGGAAGAGAAGGGGACAAGAGAGATCACACCTGGAGCTACAAGTGAGGCGTGGTCACCTGGAAGGACACGGATGCCATCAGTTGCCCTGGCTGCAGAGCGATACCACAGAGGTACCGCTCGGTGGTACCCTCCAATGGTACCTCATGGAGTTACTCCACAGAGGTAGACACAACGGCTGGAATGCTAGCTGGCCCTGGCTTTCCTGTGGCCAGTGCTACTCTAAGCGTCTTACCTGCATTAACACCTTTAATTTTCACAGAAACCCTATACATCAGATCTAGGTCTGGGTCTATTTTACAGATGAGTAAACTGAGGCACAGAGAGGCCAAGTTACTTATCCAAGGTCCCACAGAGGCAGGATTCAAGCCTGGTGGTCTGCCTCCCAAACCTGGGCTCTCACTGATGTCACCTAACCCTCCCTCTCCAGGAAGACCTGCAACTAGCACCATCTACCCCCGACTCGAAGAGCCTCTCGAACCAAATCCCACCGTCCCCTTTCTTCAGTCACACCTCAGATTTGCAACCAGCAGTACAGACCTTGCAGCAAGGGAGAGGCTGGAGGCCAGGGCAGCCTGCTTTCTGCCTCGAAAATTGATTTCAAAAGCCCCGAGAAGGGGAGGTTTTTAAAAGGCTCTGACCTCTGGCTGCCAAGACTGCTACGGAAAGCTGCGGAGCGGTCTTTCCCACCCTCCGGGAGAGACAGACCTCAGGGCCGACACTCATTTTTGACCAGAGGCTGCTGGCACAAAGGGTGCTATTGGCTGAAAGGAGTCTTTATGAAGTTCTGGTCTTGAACAGAACAGCATGTTTCAATTACCCAAGTCATAACCCCCTACACTGTCAGCTTGTTTAATGAAAGAACGGCTTCTTAAACCTTAATGTGCCATGTCTGTATTGTCATTTTAATAGGCAAATATATGAAACCACAAAGGCAACGTGAGCTACTGGCTGCTTTGAGCCAATCCCACGACCCCCAGCACACGGGCGTGCACACACACACACACACACACACACACACACACACTCACTAGCTTTGGCACTGAACTTTTTAAACAGTTCTTTTTTTTTTGTTTTTGGCGGTACGCGGGCCTCTCACTGCTGCGGCCTCTCCCGTCGCGGGGCACAGGCTCCGGACGCGCAGGCTCAGCGGCCATGGCTCATGGGCCCAGCCGCTCCGTGGCATGTGGGATCTTCCCGGACCGGGGCACGAACCCGTGTTCCCCTGCATCGGCAGGCGGACTCCCAACCACTGCGCCACCAGGGAAGCCCCCTAAACAGTTCTTTTTAACACGGCCATCTTTTAGTACTGGCACCAGAAGGATGTGAAAAGGTACAGACTCAGGCGGACTGACCTGCACTGAAGCCGGGGAGGACTCAGCGCTGGCGCTACGTCAGCTGGATCCTTCTTTGGCTCAGGGACAACAGACCCGCTTCCCCACCCACGAGACCGCACTGCTGCCTCTGAGGCTGACGGCGAGGCAGGTCATCATCCTCCCGCAAGCTCAAATGTCAGCCCTGTGGCAGCCAGGACGGAGGGAGAGCTCTGAACTATAAAAGCCACCAACAAGTAAGAGCTAAAACGGTAAAGGTGGCTCTTGCTGAGAGGAGACTGACAGGGTGTTCCGGGGGAAGCTGGGAAGGATAGAGAGGGAGTTTTCGGAAGACCTTTCTACACTCAACGAGCCTTACTGATGGTTCCCTAAAGGCCCAGTGCCAGGGTCATCTTTGCTGGGCGCACCTCCCCTCCACACCCCAGCGGTGTCTGCCTCTGGGGGGTCTGCCCCTGCCTGCACTAGACCATGAACAGCTCTGAGCCAGGCACTGCATCCTGTTCATCCTATTAATAACATAAAGCTAACCTTCCTGGAGTGCTCGTCGTGTGTCAGGCACAGGGCCTCACTCCACCCACACGCTCAATCCTTGCAGCAACACTGAGTGATAGGTTGTGTTACCGACCCCATTTTACAGATGAAGACACTGAGGCACTGAGAGCTGAAGTAACCTGGGTGAAGCCACAGAGCTGCTTGGAGCAAAGGCAGGACTCAAACCTGCTGTCCAGCTCCGGAGCATGCGCCTTTGGAGCCCCTGATAAGCTGGCCACACCAGCAAGTGCATTCAGACTAAGGTGATGAACTGGCTACTCTTGAAACGAACTCAAGCTGGGTGTCACCTTGAAAGTATCTGCAAACACGAAGCTGGAGCCAGCCTGCATGAGTAACCAAGGAGAATCCCAGCACACCGGCTCAGCCCCATTTCTGTCCCAATAACACCCGCCAGAGGCTCCGATGCCCACGTGCCGGCACACACATAAGGATAAGATTTGAACACGGGGAGCCGCTCCTGGGACTCAGTGCAGACTGAGTCACGCTCTTTGAGGTTCTTCCCACGGCTCTCGGATTCTTTGCTCTGTACCTCGGCTTCCCCAGCCCTCGCAAAGGTTCACTCCCCGGTTCCCCTCATCTGGCCTGGCCCACCCTGTCACCTCACTGGAAGCTAGGAACCAAAGGGCACTGACTTCACACACCTACAAAGCCTCAGTGAGCTGGCAGGGTGGCTGGGCTTTGCCACTGTTTACACTAGCGGGGAACAATGACTCCAACGCTGACGAATAATTTGAAACAAATGCGGAGCCATGTAAACATCCTCCCCCCACACCCCCGCCCCCTCGCTCCCAAATGATAAAGCCCTAAGATTAAGTAGGAGGGAAGAGGGGGCTGCCCACTCTGCACCCTTTTTCCACTGTGGCCCAAACACAGGCCTCCCCCAAGTTGGGCAGGAGATCACAGTCTCAGAATTCCTTTGGGTAGCCTGCAGTCATCACCAACTTCTCTAGAGACTGGCTGAGGACTGGCCTCATACCCCTCACACCCCTGTGTCCCCAGCCCTCCAAATGGGACCCACGGTGAGGTCTGCATGGTACCAACGGAAGCTGTTGGGTCCTTGAGATGCCTGCCTGCCTGCCTAGGACAGACTGGGTTCCCCTGGAGGCCCGGAGCAGGCCTGGCAGGCACTGTGGGAAACAATTAGCTCCTTGGCCCTCCTGACTGGGGCAAGCCCGGCGCACACTGCTCCTTGGTCCCCACGGACTTGGCACATTCTGTTATACGAGGTGCCCCGTGGCAAGGAGACAGCCTACACCTGGGAGTCGAGCAACCTGAGTTCCGCCCCCGGCCTCCGGTCCGTGGAGGGTGCCCAGGTCTCGTCCACAGGAAGGACCCAGACTGTGTCCCCCAGGAAGCCCTCCTGGAGTGCTTGGGATACACGCGGTCCTCTTCCTTCTCTCCTGGGAAACTGACTGCTCCACGCACTGCTGGGCCCGCCCCTATGTGGGAGCCCCCCCACCTCCTACATGAATATTCACGTTGACTGGTGGGGCTGGCAGCCTCGTTATCATAAATAATAGCCCTCACTGCTGGCCAGGGCCCGGCTGGGGAGCTCAGGCACTGTCTTAATACATCTGCACAACAGCTCCACACAGGGGGCATTATTCTTATCAAGCCGATTCTCACATGAGAAGCTGAGAGGGGAAGAGACTTGCCCAGTGCTCCAGAACCGGTGGAGGGGGATAGGAAGCCCAGGGAGACTGCATCCAAAGCCCTTACTCTACTCTGCCATGACTTGGCTGCTCTGAGTGAGGATGCTTCGAGCCCAATCGTAGAGGCAAGTGTAAGTTCCCTGGGCATCTGTTCTTACGGTCGTCCCCCGGCCCACGTGCTCACGCCTCTAAAACCCAGGGCAAGAGCTCCCTCCTCCCCAGTCTTCCTGGTGACGGACAGAATTTGCTGACCCCTGGCTCCCAGACCAAGCAGACCTTTGTTCACAAACTTCTTCCTCTGCCCCGGACCTCGGGCTGGGCCATCCTGTCCCTGCTCTGGGCTGGTGTCAGCCCAGAGTCTCCTGCACAGCCCTGCACCCAGCAGAGGGTCGGGCTGAGTGGGTGCTCAGGATTGAGCAGGATAGACTGAAGGGCACACGTGTGCTGCACATACCAGTGACAGGGAGCTCTATCATACAAGGCCAGTCCCCTGGAGCAGGGCGCTGTTGCGGTTCCTTCTGGGCAGGCCGAGGGGCTCATCCACGGCTCTCCACAGCCTGCCCACCTCTCCGCCCGCCCCACCGACACCCGCTGTTCTCTGAAAACGCCCCGTCAATCACACATGCCTTCACGCACACATGTGCACCTCTCCCTGGGATGCCCTCTCCCTCCTGGTCCAGACAGAAGTTCTTCTTGCCTTTGAAATCCACTGGAAGCACTTTTGCTCATTCCCTCCGCAGACACTGAGTACCTGCTATGTGCTCCACTCCCCGAAGTGAATACCACTGGTTAAGCCCCTGCTCGATGAGCCGGCGGCGGCGTGTGGGACCCAAGCGTGGAGGCAGAGGCTTGTGGAGGAAGTGATGGGAGCTGAGGCTGGAGAACAAGAAGTGAGAGTTGCGGAAGCAAAGTCTCGTGGAAGGTGCAGAGCGGGGCACAGGTGGGGAAGGGCCCGCAGCTACTTGGGCAGGAGAGGGGTTCTGGAAGCTTTGTGGCCTGCACATCCCTCCTCAAGAAGATTCCCCCAGGGCTCTCGCAAAGCCAGCCCTGTCTGGGTCCTCCTGGCCCACTCCCACCAGTCCTGCTGGCAGAGGGGACAGTCCCTGGGGAAGACAACAAGCCAGAGTGTCACCAACCACCAAGGCCTCGGGTGGAGGCTGAGCCTGTTTCCGATCCATGATCCACGCTCCCTGAGCGAGCTCTGGGTGGGATGGGACGGGGGAGCGCTCCACCTCTGAATCCTGCTGGCAGCTCGTGGTCCTTCGTCATTATTTATGACCACAGCTGAACGTTCCCAAAAGGCAGGGAGCTCCTCGGCACGGGGACTTGGCTACAAAGCAGAGAGGAGGCCCCGTGGGTTCTGGGGCAGACTCTAGGAGGCTCCTCTCGGGAAATCCTTTTAACGGGCAGCAGAAGAGCTGAAGGACAGAGTGTGGAGAAAGGACCCCAAAGGC